TCGAGGCAACGCCCACCTCCTTCAATCGCGCACACATCGACTTTCATTCAAGCTGGATGGGTACTTTTTCATTGAAAGAAAGCCAAATGAACAAGCTTTAAACCAATAACACTGAGTGCCCAAAAAAGACGAGCGCCAGATTCCACCGTGTCGTGCTTAATGTAAAAAATAATAAGCGAGTTACATACATAATCAGTATTCTTATAATACATGTATTCCGAAGCCATGCTCATTGTACGGGCTTTGAATGTTATCGGAAATACTTAGTTTACAAGATGCTTAGATCTAAATGGTAGGAGTTCGATAAGATGGAACAAATTAATTCTAGTGTTAGCGACATTATACAATTCATCAAAAAAGGGGAATGTTGATGTTGAAAGATTGAACACTTTACGTAAAATAAATCCCAGTCTTTTATTCACTTTTGTATGCATAAGGGAAGTGGGGACATGCCTGACGAGTTTGTGATCTATGGAGACACCTCAAACACGTGTAATCTGACACGGAGGTAATTTCTTTTTTCCCAAGTCAAGAACGAGTTCTTTAAGTATTATTTTTTTTATCCACACAAAAAAACCAACGTGTGATTTTCACAAGACTCAGATAGATCTGTCTATGCTTGAATGTGTGTGTGTGTGTGTGTGTGTGTGTGTGTGTGTGTGTGTGTGTGTGTGTGTGTGTGTGTGTGTGTGTATCTCTTTGTGTGTGTGTGTGTTACACACACGCTAACGAGCGGAGCACACCGTTGGAGTCGCTGTAGGTGTCGGTGAGTTAGTGAGAGGAGTGTCGGTGAATAAACAGGGCCAAGGGCGGCACTGATGGTACCGGTGCCGGTGCCGGTGTCAGTGTCGGTGTCGGTGTCGGTGTCGGTGTCGGTGAATAATCAGGGCAAAGGGTGGCACAAGGTAAGTGGTATCGTTGTCAGTGTCGGTAAATATAATCAGAGCAGAGGGTGGCACTAGTTGTGTCAGTGTCGTTGAATAAACGGGCAAGAGGGCAGCACAAGTCAGCGGTGTCGGTGTAGTAATAATTACACATTCCGATCCAGCGACCATCTGGATTCTAGCCCTTCGGCCTGTCGATATGGCAAAGAATCTACAGGTTTTTATCAGCTGTGTTTTGTCACTGTATAAAGTCTTTCCAACTGGGGAGGCAAGTTGGTAGGTGCAACGCAGGTCGTTAAGTGCAGGGCAGGTAAAGAGATGGTGTGATACTGTTTCTTCCTGGCAGTCACACAACGGGCAGTCCGGTGGGGACCCCCGGGCCGGTGCTACTGACTGAAGTGTCTTTAGACCATTCCCAAAGGGGGGACATTAACATGTTCTTATATGCACAGTAGAATTGTAAATGGCTGATTCTTCAATGTCATGCTCATAACTGTGCCTGAACTGCAACAGGGAACTGCTGCTTCTTCTTTCCTTATCCTTAATATCGTCATTTTTCCTCTACTTCTTTTGTATGTTTGTCACTCTCTTGTGACCCGCTATTTCCGGGGTGCCTTGATAGTCAAAGCAGACTTTGTGCTGTTGAAGCTAGAGAGGTGAGCAGAGTAAGCCTGATTCCCTGTAAAGACTTCTCTGTTGACATTCAAATGACCTTATGCAGTTGCGAGCGCCGTAAAACTTCTACTAAAACTAAAACACTAAATCAGGTGGGGTACCTTGCGAATCCTATTAAAGTAGGAATTCAGTAGGATGTGCTGTGTTCGCAGGCGAAAGATAATTACGATACCGATGAAGGAAAATATCTCCCAGCGTGGGTCAGTGTCAGTGTCGGTGAAGATGAGTAAATTGTGTCACGACGTGCTGGAAGCAGGTGCTCGTCAATTTTTGGGCATGTGACATTATGGGCATCATCTTAAAGTTTGTTCATTTGACTTGCTTTAGGTAAAAAAAAGATATCCATGTATCTTGAATATTCGTCGAGATATTTGTGATTGATGGAAGTGGGGGTTGCCTGGTTTCATAGGTAAAATTAGTGAAAAAATGGCGCTAAAGTTTGGTACATTCAATAGCTTGAGAGTCCTTGAAAACTGAAAAATTACATATTCTGTGCCTTTAATCAACGTTTATCAGTAACCCCCCCCCCCCCCCCCAGAAATATGTTTCAAATGGACATACAGGGTGTTGAGTCAAAAAAGTAAAAAAAAAAAAAGAGGAAAATTGGAACAAAATTTCCATAGTGGCAAGAAAAATGTCAGTTTCTTTGGCTTCATTATTTTGACGAGCGCTTGATTTCACCACGATGCCTCACAATTAAATCCGGAGAGATTATGGGTACCGTTGTCGGTGTGAATAAGGAAATAATAAATAATGGTAGGTGTATATTGATCGCATCGATACATTTGATGATTATGATTCGGGTAGGGGTGGGGGAGGGTGGCTGCTTCGAATTAACGTCTGTTCCCCACTCGGGGATCGAACTCACATCTTCTACGTAACCGCTACACCACAGACGCTTGTGTAAGAAATTACATGTTATCAATAAGCAGTCGGGGGTAATTTTTTGTTTTTGTTTTTTGTTTTTAATTTTTTGATGAGTTTTACGACGCTTGCAGCTGCATAAGGTCATATGAGCGCGTCACATGAAACATTTTCAGTTGGTAGGACATTTTAAATTTTGCTCAGGTGGCGGCCCAAGCCTACTCTTGTCGATTTTAGACCACCAAGAGATCTTTAACGAGTGCAACTTGGGCACAGGACCCCGAGATTTTTCACCCTTGTCCGTGAAGGTTAGGTGTAGATCTTTCCTACCAGAAGATCAGGGATGTGGCTGAAAGACAGCAGTAAGAAGGAGCCAAGGAGAAGCAGTAGAAAGGCTGCAAAAAGAGTCAGGAGTCCAGCGGAAGGGGCAAATGAGTTGAGGGGGAGGGGGCAGAAAGTGGAGACGAAAGCAGACAACAGAACATTGCTAGAGAGCAGGAAAGGGGGTGAAAGGAGACAATTTTAGAGAAGAAAATTTTTCCTTCGCTTCCCGGGTTCGAACCCGGGACCTTTGAATGAGAGGCAAACACCTTAATCTTTAGGGCACGACAGCCCCCGGCCTATGGTTTGTAGATAGGTTGATGAAATAGCGGGTATTTGTGTATGGATGACATAAATTATGTAGGTGAATGAGAATGAGAGGGTGGATGGCGTCGCTGGTATCGTCTCCGGATGGTAAAAGGGACAAGGGTGACACTAGTGTCGTTGTCGGTGTCGGTAATGGTCAGTAAAAAGGAGAAGGGTGACACTGGTGTCGGTGTCGGACCGGGTCAGTAAAAGGGAAAAGGGTTACACTAGTGTCGGTGTCAGTGTCGGTAATGGTCAGTAAAAAGGAGAAGGGTGACACTGGTGTCGGTGTCGGTGACAGTCAGTAAAAGGGAAAAGGGTTACACTGGTGTCGGTGTCAGTGTCGGTAATGGTCTGTAAAAAGGAGAAGGATGAGACTGGTGTCGGAGTCGGTGTCGGTAATGGTCAGTAAAAAGGAGAAAGGTGACACTGGTGTCGGTGTCGGCAGTAAGAGGGAGAAGGGTGACACTGGTGTCGGTGTCGGTGTCGGTGTCGGTCAATAAGAGGGAGAAGGGTGACACTGGTGTCGGTGTCGGTAATGGTCAGTAAAAGGGAGAAGGGCGACACTGGAGTCAGTGTCAGTGTCGGTGAAAGTCAGTTAAAGGGAGAAGGGGCGACATTGGTTTCGTTTTCAGTTAAAAACAGAGAGTATAACGACAAAGACGTGGTTGAAAGTGAGTAATAGGCTAGATATAATCACTGGAATTGAGAAAAAAAAATGTGTCAATGAAACTGACTTTCGTGCGGGTGAGCGGAGAAGTCACATGTAGGTCGGTCGCGTACCTTTTTCATGTTCGTCTTCTTTTATTTTATTTTATTTATTTATTTATT